CCCTCCTCCTGCCCTGTCCCTATTCCTTCCCCCGTCCCTCCCCCATCCCTGCCCCTCTCCCGCCCAAAAATGTACATGTGAAAAAAAAATGATTGCCACAAGACTTTTCTGAAAGTGTACACTCCTCCTCTCCTAGTGTAAATTTGTATGCCTGAGAAAAGGTAAAAATTGGATGACCCCTTAGTCATTGATGGGGCTACAATCTATTTTTCTAGCAATTTATCCATGATCTTCAACTAAGTACTCTTAGGTACATATCATTCCTTCTGTCTCCACAAGCATTCTTTCCTCCTAGCTTGATTTTGAAATGTTGCCAGGGTTTCTATTTTAATAGGCAGATTTCTGTTCACTACATAGGTTGTTTGGTCTCCGTACAAATACTGGCATACATAACTTTCAATATTTCTATGACTTCGGGTGAGTGTTACATTACAAGGATTTTTGGGACATCTGATGTTGGGTGCTGTCCTCTAGCAGGATAAGTTGTGCCTACTTCCTGCATGTTAACTCCCACTCAACCTTAATTAGTTATTAGCTAACTATTAACCAATCCCCATGTACCACATGTTATCACCAGAGGCCTGTGGAGTTGTTTTTAGCAGATAGCAATAATCTCCTGCTTAATAAATTCCCTCCCTGGGTATGTGTGCTTTTCCCACAGTTACATAATCATACTTGTGGGAGTATGCTATAAATGCACATGTGTATATTCATGTACGATGTACATGTGCTTGCTTTGTACTAAGCTGTTTTCTGTTATGTCACAGACAAGCAATGTTCATGTACATGTAAATGCATACCAGCATTTGGGATGAAAAACCCTAACCTGTTATGTGGGAAATGCTAGTGTGTGACCCTTGCAACAAATAAGTGTAATTTTAATAAATCGCATGTAAAATAGACCATATCATACTATAATCCCCATGATGGGGATTATAGTATGATATATGTACGTCCTGCAGTCCCTTCAAGGTTGACAAAAAATAATGTTAATCTCCATCAATTTGATACATGTACATGTAATTCCAGTTTATGTTCCGTTGTACAGACATGGCAGCTACTGGTATTTGTTCAGTTACAGTCTTGGAAGGGTTGTAATCTTTTTGACAGATTTAGATTTTGTAGTTTCTTATTTTCAAACTGAAGGTACATGTAGATGTACTATTACTAGGGTAGGAAATGTATGCATCCTTGCGTCGACTTAATTAAGGTTTAAGAATTTGAAAATTTCAAATATTATCTGATTGTGAATGCTGTGAATACTGATATGTATGCAAGTCCTGCGGAGATTGGTTGACTTGATTTGTTGTCTTTTTACTCATTAATTACTGGCAGTGGCATGGCAGATGGTGTAGGGCATAGGGATCTGTACCATCATGCTCACAATCTGCGTTACTTCAATACTTGTTTTGTCAAAAAGATTCCTGGCTTTCAAGGCAATGGTGTGGTCTTACAACATCTTTTACTTCCTTCAAAAGGCACTCTGTTCTGAATCGTAGACGCCCTTTTAGACTTTAATTGCATTCCCCACAGCTTTTGTAGCAGGGGAACTTCATTGTGAAATAACTGCTCTCTTTTGTGGGGCTGCTGCCTACCCATGCTGGGCTAGGCATCTTATGAGATTGCCTTGCATAATAAAGCTGCAGAGCAAACACAAGAGGCCTGCACGGACTATGCACAGACTATTTGCATGTTATAGGATGCAGTCATTTATATTCACAAGGTAGATTGTGCTTGTGTAGATATGGTGCTGTGTACAGTGCACCATGCATGGTTTGTCCAGTCTTGGACAACCCAAGCCAACAATGCACCTGTTATGTAACAGGGCTGACAGTTTGGCATCATGCAATGCACCATTGACCAATCACAGGCTGAGGAATTCCTTGTTCCTGGGCGGAACCACAGCAATTCCAAGCTGGTTGAAGTGTATGTGGTCAGTTGGTTTCCTGCTGCTGAGGGTGATGGGCTTGTGGTTGTTGCTTTTCCTGTTCAAAAAGCTGGCTTGTATAGGAGGTGTATATTTCCATTACCACTGTATACCTGCCCCTAGTGTATAGAACACGTAGGCATTGTAACTCAACCGTACAGCACTATGCCGGTACTTCCTGCTGTGAAGCTGTCTGCATTTGTAAGTACTGAACCGGAATATTCTTTGTTTTACATGTATTTGCCAAGTGTTGATCTTGTTAGAATTCTAGAGATTACTCAGGACTAGAATTTGGATTTTTGGTTAAATTGTACTGCAACTGGTAATCTTGACACTAAGTTTTATACCTCTGCTTTGGTCTTCCTGTTTTAAACCAAGTTTAGAGATAGTAGTATACAATATGTACGTGTAAATGCTTGTGCATGTGTTGTCTCAGAGGGCAATGTTTGCCTGTTGTCACAAGCTCTTCCAAATGATTATAAGTGTTTGCCAACTAAATTTGAAGAAATTTTTTTTCAAAATTGTGGTGTTAATTTGTTCTACATCTTCGATTTTATTATGTCTAACTTGCATCTTTTCCTAGATCCTCATGAGAGACTTGTTAGTACTAGGATGGTTACATGTTAGTGAGATTGGATTGTGGTTTACCTTTTCTTTGTTGCGCTGGTGCCATGTGAATTTGCATAATGACCAGACATTCCTCTAGTTGGTGGCCGAGGCAGGCCACAGCTGTACAGTTGTGGAGAACGGATATAGTGTTAGCAACTGACATTTGCAGGTCTCATGTGGTTGTACATGGACTTGTATATATGTCTGGGTTCGGTCTCTTCATATCCCAGCTACATGTACTTAATGTATAAATATCTCGCAAACTAAAATGATACAATTCAAGAAGTTTCTGCTGTTTGGACGTAAATCATATTTTGCGAGTTTAAGGTAGACCGTTGGCTGTGATGTTGATAAGGCCATAGAATCCTTTGATAAAAATGGCCGTTTTTGCCATATATCCAGTGTCTGAAAGTTCAAGTTTTCTTAGTCCCAACAAATCATTTGGCGTGAATGATGTAAAACAACTTATCTTGTTTGTATTCTTTACATATTCTGTTAACAATTATTTGTACATATTCTACAAATCACACATCACTTATGTCAAGTTTTGGTAACTTGGTATTGTGATGAAACCATTCAATTAACAGGAAAGTCCTAATTGATACTAAGGCTCACATATATCCCTGACTCTGCACTGTATAGGCGGAAACTTACTCATCCCTGAAATCTAAACACCATGTTGTAAAAATGGCAAATAAACAGTTGGACTCCTAATTTGTTGTAGGTCCATGTATACCTAATCCCACTCAAAATACTTGCCTAGCACAGTACTCCTTCTTATACTTTTTTATAGATTCTGGCAAACCCTAGTTAAGAGTTCTGCTGGTTGGAGATTAGAGTTAATCAAACTCTAATCTTTAACACACTTCATGTCAGATCTGTGGTTGAAATTTGGTCAGGACAAATTTCTGGACACATTAAAAGTCAAGTTTATTCTTCACACTCTAGTAATGTATGGTTTATGCTTGACTGAACACAGAATGATGAACCTTCAAAGAGGCCTTGAGATAAACAGTAGGGGTACCCATTCTACTGTACTGAGTAACAGTAAATCCATCTATGAAATAGCCAACTTGCGAAAAACCTGTGCCCTTAATTAATGGGCCTCTTTTGGTTAATTAAAATCATAATCTGTAATGAGTTACATGATAAAGGTGCTATATCCTGTCTTTGTTTTAATGCCCGGAATTCACACTTCAACAGGTGTGCCCAGTCCTTGGGAATTCCAAAGCTGTGCATTATGTAATACTTAGAGGGTTATAGGAAGGAATGTAGTGTCAAATGTCTGGGAACCTTTTGTCCTTGGAATCTGCTCCTCACTGCTCATGCTCAAGTTTCCTCCATTGCACATGGGTACAATCCCAATTCCCATGTGAATGCTGTGTAGTTAGTTCTCATTTTGGACCAATGGCTGTAATGCTTGCATTGTTTACTGAAACCTTTTCTCTGGTATGGAATAGTTGTGGTAGAGTTTTATTGCAGTTCCTCATTAGAGGCATGTGGAAGTCTTTTCTCTTGAATTGATTCAATTAATCTGGTGAAGTTTAACCAAAAATTTGATGATTTGATTTGACTGAACGAAATGGCCGGTATGTGGCATTACGTGTACAATGTACCGGTACATGTACATGTAAGTGCACATCTCATCCTGCTGTACATTGCAGAAGCATGATAATAAGATACGGTCAGACGTGGCAAGTGTAAACCATTTCAGGCGGTTCTCCCGGCATCGTTTCCTCTTAATGTTCCATGCCATTCAGTTAACTTTCATTCTGTCCAGGAAGGAAATTTCAGATTAATCTGGTTTGCTTGATTCATCTGGCTGGATATAAAAAAAAAATTAACCCTTTAGGATCAATTTGAAATTGATGTCTGAAGAAATCGTCCCAACAACTGGTAAAAATCTAACAGATTCTTACAGGTCACCTTGAGTGAAAAAATGTTAACCTACAATTGTGATTCAAAGTAGAGCAGGTAGAGCACTTGATAACCTTTGAGTAAATTAATGAAACCCCTTTTGCTCGTCACAGGTGGTACATCAGCACCAGCCTCGCCTGCAAGGAAGCCAGCTATTGCCCCTAAACCCTCTTCACTCAAGAGCCCTCCTCTACCAACTAAGCAGAGTCATGGCCTCAACAAAACTCCTGTCCCAACCCCAAAGCCACGCAAGCTGCAGGCTACACACAGCTCACCGACACCAGTATCAGGGGGCACGGGGGGTCCCCCACCGGTTAAGACGAAGACGTTTCATAATGCAGGGGCAGGACACCGGGCAAACAGTGAAGACTCGGGCATCTTTGACTTGAGAGACAGTGCAGAACTGTCTAAAGCTGAGGTGAACATTGGCGAGGTCAAAGATTCCATTTTGGAAGAGCCCATCATAATGGATGAGAGATTAGAAATTGTGTGCCGTGATGACATCCAGACGGTAAAAAGTGAGGATGCATCACCAGTGAATAGCTTGACATCCAGTCCAAAGCGCTCTCCACCCAAGCCACTTCCAAGAAGAGCCCCTCCTAGTCCTGTCCCGCCCCCTCGGCGAGCGAAGAGTGTGATTGATCCACCCAATCTTAACAGATCTTTGAAACCCAAATTAAACAAATCCACTGATGACCTGACAGCCTGTCAAGTTGAGGAAGAGATCGAAACTGAAGCTTCCGAAACAAATGATTCAGCCATTAGTTATTCACCAGTCAAGTCATCCGAGTCAAAGGCTGATAGAACATGTCCAAATGTAGAGAATGACAGGTTCAAAGAGAATGTCACCCCTCCTCCTGTACCACCTCACAAACAAAACAGCCCTTCAAGAACACCTCCAATTAATCAGAAGTCCTCCAAACCAGCTCGGCCTCCTCCCCCATCCAAAGCCATTCCAGTTGCCCCTCCCGTAAGACCCAAGCCCATCTCCAAGAAGATTGAAACTCCAGAGTTCTCAAGGCATCCCAGTGTAGATGGTCCTGGGGTGGATGGCTCCTGTGAAGCTTCCCCGAAGATTCCACCTAGAACACGGCGCAGTTTGGTGACAGACGACAAGCTCCTCCCAAATCAGACTGACAAAATCTTCTTTCCAGAGAACGGCCTGAATGGGGAGGCTGAACCTCTGCCAGACGTAACCTCTGGCAGCAGCGGCAGTGAAAAGTTAATCAAGATTCCTCCTAGGAAGAGATGGTCCCAACATGCTAACAGCAGCCTGACTGCTATGCCTTACCACAAAGTGCAATCCCCTGACCCTGCTTCCCCCAAGTCTCCTGAAGTCACAATCCATCCATCAGGGATTGTTGGGTATCACTCTGTCGCTCCACCTCGGCCAGTTGAGGGTCCCCCTAAGCGTCTGGCACCAGTGCCGCCCTCGCCATACAGCAGCACTGCAAAACAATCACGACCCATTCCAGATGATTCTCAGAAACGAGTTCCACCACCCAGACCTCCACCATTGCGTAGTGCCTTACCCCCCAAGCCAGCTACACTCATCAAATGCATCTCACAGGAGCAAGACACTGACGACGTAACTGATTTTTTAACCGCTCAAGACTCATCGCTGCCCCCAGAGAATCCCAGCAGCACAATGCAGTCAGATAAGAATGCCGATAGGCAAAGCGTCGTCAGTGACGATGATGAATACGTGCTCCCCGATGGTGAGTACGTCTTCCCAGATGGCCCGCACTATGAGAACAATGAAGTTGTCCCCGTCTTTGAACCCCTCATGTCCCCACCCCTGTCTCCATCGCCAGAATCTGGTCCCACCAAGAGACTTGTACCTGGCAGGCAGAAGCGTGTACCTCCTCCCAAGCCGAAGAGGACGCCTAGCATCCAGTCTGATATCTCAAATGATGGCTATGAGGACATGTCCAGAGGTTCCTTTGCTTCCGTTGCTCTGAGTTCTATCAGTGCTGAAGTGTATTCTGTACCCAGGTATGTCACATTAAAAATTCTGACCTGTTGAACTGTACATTTTTTCTCAAAACCTGTGGGGAAAAATTCAGAATTGGTCTTTTAAGTAACTTGGTAAGGAGACGGAAGTCATATTTTTTAACTTATCTGAAATATTTTTAAAACTTGAAATTGAAAAATAAATTCAATTAAGGATACTTTCTTGGTACTTTAATGTACAGCTGACAGTTTTCATGACTTCAAATTATTCCAAGGTAACTCCTGTATTTGTTAATTCTAAGCAGTGTAAGTTGACATCCTAAATTTATCCTGGGATTTGTAGAGCCATTGAGAGAATAACTGTCAGTATAGCTAAGCACAAAAAGCTGGAGAGGGGCTGTTTGCTCACACATCATTCTCATTATAATACCAGGGCCTTGGAGTCTGCCTACATGCTTTCAGCATGGGCTGATGTTATGTAACATTATGTAATATACTCTGAAGGACTGGTGGGTTTGCAATTCACTTGAAATCCTGAAAGGTTATCTGACCACCATTCTCTAAGGACCTCCTGCTAAGCTGGGAATGTAGACTCCATTTTGGGGTGTGGTGTGAAGTCCCAATTTATTTCAGAATAGCTCATGTCTTTGAAAGAGATGGTTGTTTTCTTGCTCAATGGTTGATCAAAGAAATAAGTTGTCACATTGAATTATGATTTTACAGTCAGCAAAAAATGAAAGTTCCCTGCTTGTCAACAAAAGGCACTTGTAGCATTCCAATGTGAACATGAAAACAAAGTGTTAACCACCTCCAAGTCTGCATTTATCTGGAATGAACATTTTTGTCTCCTCCAACATCCTGCATAAAAATTTAAATGAACGACAACCTTTAGCCAACAATATCCCTATTGTTGACCTATGCAAGAATCGACTTGTGTATAGAGCAAAGAAGTCATAAGCCTTTAGAAAATTGGACTGGGACTATTGAAATAGGCTTCTGGCAGTACACTTTGAACTTCTCGATAATTAAGTAAACAATTTTTATTGCATTTGTTAAAACCTTTGCATTTCGGGGTGTACATTGGTCCAGAATACATTATTTTGAGTTCTTCCAGTGTATATTAAAGCAAGGCTAGTATGTTTGATATCAGCTTGTTGCCTTGCACATGCAACTTTTTCCCTTGAAATCCCGAGGTGTAGGCATGAAGGCAACAAGGTTGATATAACCAGCTTTCTCTTGTTGGTTTATATGATTGAGAAACAAGATGTCAAAACGGCAGTCTACTTTCTTTGTAGCCTTACCAGAGTACGTGAGTTAAGGCCACTTTCCAATAGTTGAGCATTTGTAGTCAAAACAAAAGGCTTGTGTGTGCTAAATGTTGGCCATTGGGTCAGATTACATTGTATGTTTGCTGGTTGGAATAGCGTAAAATTTCCCTTTGCAATAACGGTGCTCAACCTAGTTGTGATGACAATTGTTTAAGTTTCTATTTCAGCCGACAGTATTGACAGAAAGCTTTTTTTGCCAGCAGTTTGCTGGCTTAAGGAAGTTTGCATGTTTTGAATTAATTTCCTCTTGAACTTGCTTTGGCATAAAAAAATAGGTAACGTGGCATGTGAATGCAGTTGAAAGAAGTACCATATGGTACATTGTACATATTCATGTACATGTACAATGTAGATCTAGCTACATGTACATGGAAGTGACGAAAAATGTCCAGCTGAGATTGTATCCTAGGTAATGTGAGCATTCAACATATTGGATTGACCGACATGAATTTGTCTTTTAGGTCTTGTGAGCATAGTATGCATGAAAGTGGCCGCTGTCAGTGTGCTGATTATGCCGAACAGAGCAGTGGTGAAGACGAGGGTTCATCAGATGATGACGAGGACAGCTATGAGAAGTTTGACCAGGGCGTCATGGCGGAGAAAGAGGAAGATGTGGAGCCCGAGGTCCGAAAGCGCCGCAAGGCATTCCTAGTAGCTCAAGAGCTGAGGGACTCGGAGAAAGTATTTGTGGATGTCCTCAGACTCATCAATGTGGTGAGTCAATATCCATGACTTAATTCTTAAAGGTAGTGAACAGCATTGGTTTTTTGTCGTAATTTCACAAGATTGGATGATTATGGTGTACAATATTCACTGCAACTTGCATTTCACCGACTTGTTTCATGTTTGAGTCAAGTGCTTTGTGACAATCAAGAAAAACAGCACGGCAATTTCAACGCATGTATCAAAGATCTTGTAATTCATCTTGTGTAAAATCTATGGATTACAGGGTGTTCGTAGTAAGCGAACAACACCCGTGGGGTAGGGTTGGGAAGCAGGCATGATAGGTTCTAATTCATGAAAAAAAAGACAAGTTTTCAACCGTTAACAGTAATCAGTGAATTTACCTTGGAGTAATGCGCCACCTGGACAAAGTATCATTACTGATGCGTGAAAAAACTTCATCCAGGAATGCAGTCGACTCTAGTCCTTAACACTGAAATGAGAAGGCCCAAATGACAGTGCACGTAAAGTGTTTGCGTTACACTCGGGTTCCTATGATTTCAGTTAACAATGCTTTCAGTGAATTCTTGTCGGTGTATTTTTAGCTGCTTTTAGGTTTACCTGTTTGTAAAAGACTCTCACATCTGCAAACATTACACACGAGAAACTATAGAATGTGATGTGCGGAGTGAAATGAACTCTTTATATGATGGTCAGGCGACCATCATAAAAAGTGAACAAAATTTCTGTCTTCTCAAACTACAGCATTCTGGGTGGAAATATTTTATGGGCTGCTTGAGGCTGTTATGTACTTTGAAGCAAAATATTTCAATCCAATATGGGGGATTTTACCAATGGTGTACACTACCTTTAAGAACTGAGCCAATATAACTTGACCCTCCTATGCTAAGATGCATTCTTGACACAGTTGTCACATCAGTCAAAATCAGTCACATTTCCCATACGTGTCTGTACTGGGAGAAATTAATTGGAAGGCATTTTTGACTGTTTTTGACGGTTAAAACAGAAGGAGGGTTAATTGCCAAACAAGTATTCAGCAACATTCAAGAAGAAAATGACAGATTGCTGGTTGCATACATGGTGCATGGCTCAATGTTTAGGTCAGTAATCCCTTTTGTCTACAAATATTTCCTGCGTGAAGCTACCGGTAGCGGCCTCACTTCCAGCCTCGTGAACTTGGCGCTTGATTTTCATGTACCTTTTGACAAAACAATTGGGTCTTGATAGTCAACTTGAGATTCCTATATCATGATCAGTCACCTTGTCATAGTCATGTTTTGTATCAGAGCACTTGAGCATGATTACTTAGCCATACCATGGGACTTAATGTACTTTGCTCCAACTAAGTGGCCTCAGTGAAACTTTCAACGTGTGGCTACTGACTCCATGCCAGGAAAGTACCTGATTGGTCAAATCCACTGCAGTAAAAGTCAATTTTAGATTTTAGTTTGTACATTAGTATCCTTTAAATTGAGGGATGTTTTTTCTTGGCAAAATTGAGATGGTCATCGATTTGAGATATGCAGATTTCCAGAAGTCCTAGTGGTTTGTCTGAGCAAGTTGCATGTACAGTCAGGTGTAATTACGAAAACCGTTTCTTTTTCTTTATTCTCCCACGAAAGTGCTGAAATATATTTAACATGAATTGTTACGTAGAATCCTTCCACAGTTAATGAGATTTTTGGTCTTAATTCTGTAGGATTTTAAGGTGGCCATTGAGGATGCTGAGAGGTCAGCTGGTCGGCCAATCATTGAGAAAGGACTGCTTGATCAGATCCTAGGTCATCTACCGCAGCTTCAGATGTTCAACGAGGACTTACTTGCTGATTTAGACTCGAGAGTCAGTAACTGGTAAGACAGGAGAAAGTTTACCCACATGAAAGTAACCACCACTCTACTGCCAGAGGTTTTACAGGATGTATTTGGGACTTCTTATAGAAAAAAAGCCAAGTGTTAAAATAAAAAATGTGTCCTTTTTAAGAATATTCACTGAAATACTTGTTATTCCCATTGTAGGTGTTGGGTTGCCATTTTAAAGATGCAGCAGTTTGAAAAATGCATTACGTACAAGAAGCTGACCCATAAGTCTCATGTAAGGAGTCAGATTACATGTCAATCATTTGATTTTGGTTCCAAAGGGCAGAGAACCCTCGAATAGCTGACATTTTCCTGAAGAAAGGCCCGTACCTCAAGCTGTACAACACCTACATCAGAGACTTTCAGAAATTGACAGCTACCGTGGAGGAAGCCTGTCAGAAATCGCCCTTGTTCAATGCTACACTTAGAGAATTTGAGGTAAGGTTTGGATGCTGTCAATGTTAAGTTTGCATGAATTGTCCGGTCGGTTCCTGGTTGGTCTTTCTCTATTCATTTCTGATCATCCAACAGCGCATTTAGCGCCAATTATAGGATGAAGAGCGAGGAAGATAATGAAGAAATGTTCAGTTTTAGAGATGGGAGGAAAACCCGGGATAAATGTTTCGGGGAAACCCATGGACCCAGGTAGGAACTGAAAACCTAATCCACATGTGGACCCAGTCAGATTTAACCAAGGCCCGCAGAGGTGGAAGGTGAAGAAAGAAACACTATGACAGCCTTGACTTTTTGAGGAAGGATTGTGTGATATAATGGCTCTGGTGTGATTTGGTGATGGCACAGAAATCAAAACATGCTTGTGTATTCATTCGTGTGACTCGACTCGAGTAAAAGGTTTGCCCTTGTCTTGGAGTAGTTATTGACATCCTTGGTCTTGAATAGTTAATTTCATGTTTTGAGGAGGCAATGTTTTGCGAGTGGTTAGGGTTAAAGAGAATTTAGCTTAACCCATGCTTTCACTGGTAGTGCAGCTTTCTATATAGATTAAGGGTTGTTAACTTGTTAAAATCATCAACTTGTGTGCAGCTTGGAACAGTGTCTTGCAGTTTTTGAGATGCAGTCGGTGCTTATGAGATTTTGCCAAGACCAGTTATGATGACAAAAACTTTTCCTATTTTTGTCCAGGCCAGTTCAAGATGTCAGAACCTGTCCCTGAGGCAACACATGTTGAAGCCAATTCAGAGAATTCCTCAGTACAAACTACTCTTAACTGGTAAGCACCTTTAACGGTTTGTTGCTATGCAAGATTTGACAGGGATACTTTTCTGTGAAACCTCTATCTGACTTATCTGACAAACATTTTACATGAGTGGTGAACAAACCAATTGGTAAAAGTTAACCCTAACTCCCTAGGGTGTGTGCAAAAATCATATTAGAATGTGGGGATTTCGGAATGTTGGGGTTAAATTAATGCGTAAAATGAGACAGTTGGACCCTAACATCCAAGGTCACAAGAAACATCGCTGTCATTTCAAACATAATCATCTTTTGATTAGTATTTGGAACTAGACACGTTACAGTAAGGCTTAGACATTTTTCTATTATCAAACAGAATACTTAAAGCAATTGGATGAGGAAGCCCAAGAGGAAGATTTCAAAGATACTATGGGTGAGTGTAAGCTTCCTTAGTTAGTGCCAAGTACTTGGTTTGGTTGGTAAAAATAAGACTAAGCAATAGGATATCTTTGCCTTTTTGTTTCAATTATTTGCTGAGGAATTTATGCCCCACCAAACCACTTTGCCTAAAGTGTAAATTACATGTGTGGGTGAAATAATGAAATTGTACATTTGGGATGTCAAGATGCTAATGAAGTTGACTTGTTGTTTCTTGGACAGCTGCTCTGAATATCGTGAGCGAGGTGGCCAATCATGTTAATGAAAGCATGAAACAAGGGGTAAGCCAAGATCTTCTTACTTGAACTTCCATTTAGTAGAATTAAAGTTCTTTGCAATGCTAAGAACCTTGATTGTTTAATACCTTGTTGTCATACTGTTCCAATGCTATCTAATCCTGCTATAGAAGCCTTTACCCTACACAGAGGGTGGGGACAATTGAACCCCCCCCCACTGCTACTCCTAAACTGCTGCAAATGTTAACTTGTCCTTTAGTGACTATTTTTTCAAAGTGTTGCAGAACTTTGATATCAGATTTGCAACACCTGAGTTGAAGTTGAAAATCGCTAAACACTTTCAAGAAGTTGCTTGAGTGCATTCTAGAGGAAGTTCTGAATTATGTTTTCTGCTTCAGGAATGAAATCCTAGGATATGGGTTACCGAGATTTTTTTTGCTTTTCAGGATAACCTGGATAAGCTTCTGCAGTTACAACAGAGTCTGGTGGGTAACCATGAGATAGTCAGGCCTGGCCGGGTGAGTCAAAACGGACTACATGGCAAGATAACTGAATACACGTCTGCTGATGTCAAATCTTGTGTTTGCGTTTGCCCTTTCTTATGGAGCCAGTGGGAGCCCAAGGACCACTGAGCACCGTAGGAAAGCAGATAAGTAAACAATAGGTGGCATCATTAGTACCGAGGTCTATTCATCACCTGTAGCTCTATAGTGTTGATAGGTGGCATCATTAGTACCGAGGTCTATTCATCACCTGTAGCTCTGTAGTGTTGACATGGAAAAGACCAAGACTTCAAACACACTCCATTCGTGCATAGATTTTTCAGTGATATATTAAATTCATGAATTCAATGTTAACATTGACAGTTATTGATTGATTTTTTGGAATATTTAATTGTAGGTTTTTATTAAAGAAGGGGACTTACTGAAGCTGTCAAGAAAGGTGCCACAAACACGGAGATTTTACCTGGTGAGTGAAATACTGTGAAATATTTCTCACATTTTGTTGGAATATTTATATACTTGTTAGTGACTTGATTCAAATATAAAGCTTTTAGTTATTTCTGAAATGATTCAATCGACATTGAAATCAATTTGATACTGTCTGTTTATGCTTTCCAGTTGAGTGATATCCTGTTGTATACCACACCGTTTCTACTGACACCAGGCCAATACAATTACAAGCTGCATAATGTCCTGTCATTGGCTGGCATGAGGGTAAGGAGTGGATGAGATTTACTTGCTTAGCCCAAAATGAAGACAGTTAAGCAAAATGGCATGTATTATCAGTTTTGTTTGTCGGGCATACAAGCTCACTGAGTACTTTGCGAGACAAGCCTAGCACAGTGGAACACACACTGTGACACGCACCTCGGTAGAGTTTGATCAACTAATCCCACACTGTCGGAGGTTTCTTAAAAATCTGAATTGAGTCAAGAAGGTTTATCCTTCATGACGTCATGACTCTTCTGCGACCATTTCACGTGCATGCGGCCGCGCCACAGTGGGCGAGTGAACTTGGTCTATTGATCAATTGTGTCATGCAGTCAGTTCGAAAATCATAAGACAGATGGAAAATAAAATAAAAATGTGTCTTTGTGACACAATTTGTGCTGGAAAGACTAGAAACATTGATGCGGTTTCCAGTTGATGAGTCTTCACATTCTTGCAGGTACACACAGGCTTACATGTGCATGCTGTTACTGATGGCTTCGTTATCATCCATGGCGATCTTAAAAAAATCCCTGGATCGATGTTTTCACATGTACATGTATTTGCTTTTATTCTCGCATGCATACACGTGCATATGCATGTACATGGTATTGTACAACAATGCACCCAAGCCATAGCGCTGCGTTCTGCCTACAACGAATTTCGTATACAATGAACGTTTCAACGTGTTCCCTGGGATTTTGTGATAACAAGAGTTGACTGTATACACAACTGCTTCCATGGCCCACAACCATCAAAATGTTCTACAGACCATATTTACACCATACATCACTTTGAAGTAAGCAGGGGAAAAGAATTGTCAAACCTTAAAATAATGTACTTCAGTCTGGTTGCGGAATGGTGGGAAGTATTCAATCTTTTGGGGTCTTGATACTTGAATGTCATTGTTCCTTGGTCAGGTACATGTTCAAATGTTCAAGTTGATAACTTGCTTTTCAGGTAAGCAAGCCAGCACAGGAAGATTACAAGAACGAGTTCAGTATCATCAGTGTACAGAGATCCTTCACTTTGGCAGCAAAGTAAGAGCTGGCTGACTTGCTTCCACCTATAAAGACCAAAAGGGGCTTGGAATGTTGCTGTAAATGGTCATACATTGTTTGTTAGTTATATCACGGTGAATGATATGATTTTCCAATAAAAGAGCATCATTTTTATTACCCATGCCTGGAAAATTCTTGGAAGTATTTCACACAGGATTAAGTGGTTTTTGTATAATACTGCAAATGCATGTTGAAGATTGTTGTTCCAAGTTATCATAAATCTTAAATCATTGGAGAATGCAGCTAAGGAACTCTTTTGGTAATATTTGTCTCGGCAGAACAGTTTCAATTTATAGTTAATCAAAGAATTTACAAGCTCACGCTGATGGTATTTTATTCAGTCGTCACTCTTTTAGGGGCCTGAAATGATGGGGTTTTTCAAACTTTGTTTTGGACAGCACTCCTGAGGAGAGAGACTCTTGGGTTGCAGCTCTGAATAAAGCGATCACGGAGTATGCCAGTAAACGAAGCTCCTTTGCTGTTTTACATCCTCAGTATGCACAGGTGAGAAGGAACTCAAGTCTTCTTGAAACTCCTCCCTGAGTGAGATTTTTGCAGTCTTCAGAGAGATCAAAATGGATGCGTAGAAGTGTTGAGTGTGAAATGGCCGGTTTACAGGAAGTGTTTACTTCTGAAGATGTACACAAAACATAAAGGCAAGGGCTATTGCCTAGAAACTCAGAGATGGAATGAACTACAAGCTGCAAGACCATACATTGACTTGAGAGGATGAGTGGCAGCCATCTTGAGACGCCATGGCAACACTGCTTTAAGACCATACATTGACTTGAGAGGACGAGTGGCAGCCATCTTGAGACGCCATGGCAACGCTGCTTTATTTCAGGCGGTATACTGGTAACGGCACATTGCAGAGTTTACCAGTTACTTCCTGGAATACAGGAGTGTTGGCCCAAGACATCAGTGGACTCATCCATGCTACATGAAGTGCATCAAGTAGAAGTAATCTGGAGCCTTTTGTCTTCAAAACCAATTTTGACTTTCTCAGCCGGTCATTATATCTTAGCAATTTGCTACTGGCTGGGCAGTGAATCAAATATTTTTGGAAGGCTCATAGTCTGAAATTAGTATTTTTATTTCCTTTAATAATGTTACCACCCAGCAAATACATTGTTTGAAATGGTAGAATACAGCCGTAGAAATTGGAGTTGAGTCAATATTTGCTGAAGGTTGTTATTTTAAAAAGGTTTCTTGTACTGAAACTTATGCTGGAAGCTCCAGTCAGTCGGTGAAAGATGGCCATTTTGGAATTTCAGTTATAACTCCTTGAAAAGTAGCAGAAAAATGTTGAAGATTCTCCGACTTTTTTTCAGCTTTTGTCAGAAGGCGACAGTACCAGCCTAGGTAGGAAAGCACCAGCTTGGATTCCTGACGCTCGTGTTACCATGTGCATGATCTGTACTTGTGAGTTCACCATTACCTGGAGAAGACACCACTGCAGAGCTTGTGGAAAGGTAACCTTTTTGGATATTGGCAACAAACTAAATGCTTATGTATGATTTCAACACAAATCATGTTATGAATGTAACTTACAAAGGATCAAGGCAGTTCCTAGGTGTCTGAGCTTTATTGTAAAAAAAAATCTGTGAAGAGATGTAAACACCAAGTTTCTAAAGACACTGTACCTCAAATGCCAAGATGTATGAAAAGTTCTGTTAAAAGGGAACACATGTTGACAAGTGTGGACATTTCAGACTTACTGAAGCCCATTGCAAAGCTTACAGTAGTTTAGGCCAGAAGGGATATTAACCCTGACCATTCTGAATCCAACAAGCATATGTATGATTTCAATGGTCCCGAGGGGGTTGAGAGTGAAGAGAATCCTGTAATATGGAGATGTTAATTCTCGTATTCCCTGTTTGCAGGTTGTGTGTGGAAACTGCTCGGCAAACAAGATACCACTCCACTACTTGGCTAACAAGGTGGCCAGGGTCTGTGATCAGTGCTACAGAACTCTTGTCAAAGGTATAATGTAACTTCAAAGAAAAGTGTTGATTTCAACCCTCGTTTCATTACATGTCCCCAACGACTTGAATTCTCATTTCAGAATCACCAAATTCACAAGACAAGCTTGAGCCCTGAATGTAACATGCCACATAAGTGTTCTTGCTCTCGTAAGGTTGGCTTCAGCATACATCACACCTTGAAGCTGTTGGATGTTGTTGGGTTCGGTAAGGGGCAGCAGGGGCACATGTTGGATAGGGTGTGAGGGTTTATCCTTCGTTGTGTCTTGGGATTTTTGTTAAGACTATTGCATCCGCCTGTGGTACTTACTGGGCATATCTGACCAACATGACATCCAAAGGTCTGTTCTTTTTGTGAATGAGCCATGAAATCAATTTGATATGCAGTTTTCAGCCTTTGGGTACAGATTCAATTGATTTTTCTTGTAAACATGTAGTTGATTTGGGGTCTTAATTGTTTGCAGGTGATAAACAAGGAGAAGATATGGAAGATGGAAAGGATCAAAGTAAAGGCAAAGGGAAAAGGAAAAGATCAGCAAAACCAATTATTAGACCTTCGGCCCTCAAACAGGTAAAATAGCATGAACGGAGATAGCATCGATTCTTTAGGAAGACTTTGGCCCACTTTGACAGCAAGGTTTAACAGTAAGCATGAAAGTTGTGCTTACTTAAGCAGAAAATAATACTTTCACACTATTTCATGGCTAGGTGTGCAAACGGTAGCTTGTCTGTGGAGATGTCTGTCACCTCGCTGAGTTGAGCATTTTTTTTGTGTTCTGAGGTTAAGCATTTTTTGCCGTCTTTTAACAGTCTCCACGAAACACTTGGAGGCTCTGTAAGCACAAAATTTGTTGTTGGGCTGAGCGAAGAGATTTGGGCCGGATATTTGAACTTACCCTATAAGACCCTAGCTTCGATGTAGATGCAAGTCTTTTGCACTATGACCACCACCTCCCGAAGCTTGATTTTGATCTTCCATTTTTAAGCATGAGGCCATTTGATTTGGATGTTAGGTGGTGTTTTTTTTCTGGTCAGTATTCTGGTATGGGTTGGCCAAGATTGTGCAGTGTTTAACTTTATTTCGTTCACGAACCTGGCTCAGTGCACTGCTGACCTCTTTTCAATAGGGGCCAGTTTAGTGTGCAGCAGTGCTGTGGCTCATTGCTGCGATGGTGGAGCGCTTTTGTCCCCGGTGGTAATCTGCTCGTGCTAAATGCCCCAAATCGTGGTATACTGTTTCAAAACAAGGCTGGATTATCTCCGCTATTGAGAGTGAAAAAATGTTGCAATGTCCAGCAGCCTGGTCTAATTCCACACACGGTGCCCGAAACCGGGCTCCCCGGCAGAAGTGGTTAAAGGCCGCAATTTTTCATTTGACAGGTCTCTGCTAGTGAGCAGGATACCAGTATGAGCGGTTACCTGATGCTGAGACGGAAGAAAGATTGGAAAAGACAATGGTATGTCTTGAAGGAAAAGGTGTTGTATAGATACAAAGCCAGCGAGGATGTGGCAGCGTTGGAGAGCATGCCACTCTTGGGATATGAAATACAGATATTGAATGAGGTGAGTAGTGTTGGGAGTTGAATTTTTATCTCTTACAAAGGAAGCAGCAGGAATGTACAATTGGCCTCCTACGGTATGTTGGAGGATTCCGTAAAGTTAAAAACTTTTTTTGCCGAGTTGGACCTTTTTCATTCATTTTCAATAATGTGCACAAACTCTTAGGTCACCGAAGTCTAGTCACAGGGTTGAAGGCCGTGACAAATTGACAGATTCTGAACTGCTTTTTGTCAGTAAGCGGAAATAGCTTGTGCTGAACTGGTCACTGATTGGTGAACTGATTGCAAACCTCTGCAGGTTTGTGCTTACCTCATATCTTTTAGGGTCAAGACTTGGATCATGCTTGGTGACCGAAGATGGTCATGTTTGTGTGCCAAGTTTGCAAAGTTCATGTTTTAAGTGGACAATCCTTAAGCTTCAAAGGAAGTGTGTAAGACAACTGCACGTGTTTGATTCCAATGTTTTTTCTAAAATTGGATTCGGTGCCATTGGGTAAGGCGAACAGCCAATTTTAAGTTTCCAAAGGAGCTAGTGAAACTTACATTGTTGCATAATTTTATTGCATAATTTTATTTACATTTTTTTGCAGCCATTTGAAGGAGTTGAAGCAGGCTTTATCATTCAGCTTTGCCATCAATCCAAGGTACTGTTCCAACTACGAGCTGAGAACAAGCCTATGGCTGAGAAGTGGGCGGTACTGATGACAGAGGCTACACATCTCTGAGATGATGTATCCTCAAATCACCAAAGCTCGTTTTATCTCTTGAGAACTGGTGTGTGCTGAGATGTCTTTAAGACATTTTAATTTTCTTTTCATTCCAAATGGGCTGCTGAACTGCAATATGATAAAACTGGTATGCAAGATCAAAGTTGTAAAATGACTTTAAGACATAAGACCGATGTTGGTCATAAGTAATATGTTTATTCCCCGTAACACTAGAATGAAGCATTCCTGTTGAGTTGTATGTTTTAAAACAATTATTTAAATGCATTTCAGATGAGGCTGAGGACTCCAAAGTGGATTTCGTTAAATGTCACAAGTTTTTTCTTAAACACCTGAGCAGTTTCCTAAACTGAGTGCTTTAAGTAAACTATGATGTCATTCCTGAGCTCTGACGTACTAGAGAACTAAGCATAGGAAGATGTGATGATTTTTTGTCCAAGGTCAGTAGCAACTTTGTTACTGCCAACAGGATAGGTTTTCTAAGAGTACCAATGCTACCAAGGTGTGTTTTTTTGTTTTGTTTATACAGTCAAACCTTCTTAATAAGAACACTGTTAACACAAGATTCTGGTTATAACAAGGATATTTTGAGGTCCCAATCCTTTGTTTTTCATTATTTTCATTCCTGATGATACAAGATTCCTGTTATAACGAGGTAATTTGCCAAGTCTGAAGAACTTCTTATTAATGAGGTTCAACTGTAATATGCTATAGAAACCTCCTATATTGTCTTCCAAATGTTTAAACAGTATTACACATATTCTTATTTAACAAAAGTTCCATTATGTTGCCTTTTTGTATTAAAATTGGGATGACTGTATGTGTTAATTCGGTTTTGTAACAGACATGCAACTTCCAAAGTTTCATCTGAATGATGTCTATGACTTGTAATAATTGGACTAACACAACAGGTAAATTTCTGCTCTAGTCAAACATACATATCGAAGTATAACTTGTTTAGTATACCCAGCGTGCCTTATAATGCTTACATATTGAAGTGTATTTTTGCTAGCTGTTTTATTGATGCCAATGTTGGACAAAACTATTGATGTAATTTTTAACAAGCTCCAATCTTAAGAAAACCATGTTAAGTGAGAAATTCCAAGCATACCACCATTAAAATGTTGCATAAGTTCTCAAATTATGAGATTTAGCATTCTCAAAAGGTTACTTTTATCTTAACCACTTGATGCTGGGTGGAAGTTGAAGTTAAATGACGTAAACCCAGGAGATTTTCAAGATTTTCTATTTTCAAAATTCTTAAATAAATCATAGCTTCATTTACTGGACGTTTACACCCACATGAATAACTGTCTGGTGGCTACTCTAATCTGACAGACAACATCTATTGAGTATTTCAGCTAGGCCGCCACCTTGTAAAATGAGCCTAGATTGTGAGTGTCATGTAACTTTCTTTGTTCTTGAAACTGTTAGTGTGCTACTGGCGTTTTTTCAATAGGAGCCAGATTAGCATGCAGCAGAAGGTATCACTCATTGCTGGAGTGCTTTTGTCCCCGGTGGTAATCCGCTTGTGCTGAATGCCACAAACAATGATATAATCTCTCAAAAGGACAGATTTCCATGTCTTTTGACAACTGAAAATTTTTTGGCAACTCCCAGCAGCTTGGTCTTTTGTTCCAGAGTACGTTCTTTGTTATAAGGCCCGGCTCTTTTGTCTGGTTTCAGGCTCCCTGGTTTCGTGTATTAATCCTTTGTGCCCGAAATGAGGTTCCCACCAGCAAGTGGTTAAAATGATAGAACTAAGAATTGATAATGAATTATGTGAGGTGTTACCACTGTGCAAATATTCCAGAAAATTATTTGGATGTTAATTATTGACCTAATCAGGATGCATGTAATAACATTTAAGACAGTTGTTATAGCCAAATGAGGGCAGTTATATTGGAAGCATATGAGGAAAAGCGATTTGACCAAATCCATTTGACTGTTAACAGTGGACTGGACTTAGGCACGGCCTGATTTTTATATTTAATTCTTGGAAATTACCCAATGTGTGCATGGATAATTGACCAATAAATGAACTGAATCTGGTGCTTCAAAATGATCGTCTAAATGTGATATTACGATCGTGAGTGGAATAGAATGAAGTAGTGAGTGCGTCCTGTATACCACAAGGCCTTCACGGGACTCGTCACCTTTGAATATTAAAGTAAATTTTGCAGTTGTTTGCCAATAGTGTAATGTGTTGAGTTAGAACAGCACATTACATGGCGTTTGAATGCACCATCCAAGACTGTTATACTTGTATATATCACACTCCTTGTTGCCATGGATAGACCAATCGGAATTGAGAATGAAAGTCTGCCTGAAGATAATTTATATTATGCATTGTGGGTGTATGAGGACTTCTCACTTTGAAAGCCATTTGGAGGAATCTCGAGTCTGGGTAATCATTGGCGTTCACACTTGACTGAGAAATTACCTCATAAATGTGACTATTTGACAATGGGATGGAAGGAAATTTCAAATTCAAATCCTGCACCGCAAGTACATGTACATGGTAGTTGTATTTACTTAGTATGTTGAAGCAATATTGAAAAGTTCATCAAATGGCTATATGCGATACTGAAGCATCGAAGCTTTTGTACAAATATAAAAGAGACTTAGTAAAAATATTAATCTTACCCCTGCATTAGTTTTTCATTAATTGAACGTAACACTTCATAGTTGATCAGTTACCTCTTGGTTCTGCTCAACCAATGGGACAATTATAATTTGGCAAATAGTTTTCCGTCTGGAATCGTGATTGTTCATAACAAATCCGGGTAGAGTAGCTTACTTAAAACATCAATTAATCTTCAAGTTTGAGTATCTCTTTGAAACTTGCTCCTGATTTGTTGAACTGTTTTACTAGTCTATTTGGCTCCTATCCATAAAGGTCCACAAATTTGCTGTGTTCAGTCAATCAAGGTCCGAACACACAAATGTTCATGCAGAAAAACACTAAAAAATATACAAACGGTTGGTCTGTCAATGCTACTGATGATTTATATTGACTTGGAAACCACTCACAAAAATATAAATTTCAGATAGTTTCTCTAGCTGAAACATCTCGCAAGAAAAAAAATGCAAAGCCCGCAAACTGATTTACTTAATTTTATTTCCTTCATGTATTGTTACAAATCAAATTTGAAAAACAGCTTGAAAGTTTCCTTTTTATAAACTTTTCTACCTGCATAACTCAACTTCTTTTACTAAAACAAATGACAGATTACCATGAGGAAAGTAAACGGAGGGATTTCACATTCGCGCCGTCTGCGCATATCTACATCAAAACCGAGGCTCTCTGTGTTGAACTTCGTCGCGTGCGCCCGCGGAGTCCACACAGTACGTGGAATATCCGATTCGTAAGTGTGACGCCACTTCAGTTTAAACCACGCCCACTGCACATGCAGATACACGACCATCGCAGGTACGTTAGTTCGCGGTAAATTGCTGTTATTTTTTTCCTTTGATTTTACGTGACGAGTCATCAAAGACTCTTCCACAAAAATTTGCAGCTTGAAAAGTCTGAATTTATCATACCGTTATGTATTTTGTGTCTTGACTCCTTACTTTCAATTGTCTGATCGTATTAAGAATTGAAGCTGATGCATACGGCCTCGTTTCAAACGCGGAATTGCGCAGATCGACACTAAAAGTGTCGTATTTGGATCCCTGTATAAAGCAGATCAAATAGCAGTTCCTCTTCATAACAAAGAACGAGATGATGTAGAAACTATGATGAAACATGGGGATATTGAAGAGGTGAAACAGTTCCTAGTGCGCTAACAAGTTGAAAATGTGAGAAACATCAGCTTATCTAAGACATATAGGTCCATTTCCTGGATTGCATTGTCTGTTAACCTCATGATGCAGACAGGGTGGGGTATGACTCCCCACCCTGCTCCGTTTTATCACACCAACTTCGAGATGCGGTCAGTTTCTCATCGTCACGACAACTTTGCCAGTGGATTTCCTCATCATGACATACTGGAATGCTTCGTTGATCTGTAAAGATGGCAATAAAAAAAACTTGTTACAGACCCCCCAACCCCGGATAAGATCAGTTCTGGTTACTTTCCAAAATGAGCACAACCAGGATTTCCTTGAGGAGAAGTCATGAAATTGTCCAGCATGCATAACGTAACTAAAGCAAGACCTGGGAAGGGATGGGAAGGGAATGTTGTGACCCTTATAGCTCAATTCCTGTCCTGATTAGAATTCAGATATCACTCTTAATGACCTGTTACTTTCAAATGTTGACACAAAAGTCAGAAGTGATATTCTAGCCAACTATTACAACAATCCTTACAAATAATAAAGCCTTAATTTCCTGTGGCAGAAAAGTGATATCGAGGGAACAATCCAGGCCTAGGGAATTTTTCTCGTCGACTTCCTTCTGGATAAGACCCAGTTTTCACATTACTTGGCTCAAGCTATTCAATTTGCAATACCTCATCGATCACTGCTTTCAGTTAGACAGCGGAAGCATTAGGACTATGCTTGAAGTACATTTACATCATCTCCCCAGTTCTGGATGGGAACTGGACAAGGGCCAACTGTACTTTTGCTTTCTGAAAATGTTCATTTTGTCTGTTTGATAAAACATCTAAAAAAGGCTCATCATCTGAAGGAATTCGATCTTTGTGACTGTTTTGATGAAGTGACGTATCTGCACACCAACTGCAAAACCATGTTTTGAGAAAATCATATTTGAAATGATCGATTACTCAAATTGGGTTTGGCATACCTTTTTGAAGCACTGAAAACCTTTCATCTGATGTGAGCAGCAATAGACCATTAGTTGAAATGCCAACAAATTGTCTGTTTTCATTAATCCAGGTTTAATTAAGCGACATTAATTCGTGAAGATGGATGTCACTTTGTCAAAACAGCCATCCTAGAGTGCACATCACATGGCATATGTTTGTACACATCTCATGTGTTGCAGACCACAGATTTGTCATGTTTTCAAAGTGCACAGTGTGGAGGCAAAACGTATGGCACAGGTGAAAGAGATTTGTTAGGTACCTTCATCAAACGGCAACACTGAGTCTGGGCATGTACCAGCACATGGCTTTGTGTAATTAATAAACAACGTAATTCTTTCTCCAAATTTGGTAATCATGCATCATAAAATGTCAGAATATTCAAAAATCTCAAATTGCCTACAATCTCAGTTTTGGGTGGATTCGTCAGTTCATCGAAACGGTGAGAAATTTTCCAAAATATCAGGTATTTACAAATATTAACTGCAGCATCTCGTATGGTCACCACCTACAGATCTACAAGCTATGATCCTACATACTTGGCTTTAAAACCCTAACACTCCTCAGTCCTCCAACAGGTGAAGGATTGAGGAGGGTTAGGGTTCATTGGGCTAAACTGCAGAATTTCAGACTGATTTCGGTGTACATGTGAATGCATCAACTCACCTTCTCCAGAGGGAAAGTCTTGCAAACATGGGGTCTGATCTTGCCCTCCTTGAAGAACCTGATGCAATCTTCCACTGACTGACGGCTTCGGGGCGGGTCATGCATGCGATAGTTGCCCCAGAACAGACCCATGGCCGAGATGTTCTTGACCAGCAACAAGTTGGCTGGAATCTTGGGGATGTCTCCGCTGGCAAAGCCAATGACAACCAGACGACCTTCCCAGGAAATGCTGCAGTGAGGAGGCGATTTGTACTGGGATAAACAGAAGATTCTATGCTTTATGATAACTTGGCCTTGAAACTGTGCCAAGACCTATTGACTGAGCGGCCTAAGTACCATCCTCTATCAACTGATAACATGCAGATGCCTATCACATTCAAATTGCCACTCAATACTCAAAGTCCTGGCAAGAAATTTTGGGGTCGGGTCTGTCCAAGAAAAAAAAGTTTCCCATCCAGTTTTCCTTATGTTGAGGAGGCATCCTTTTAACGTTTTTATTTCGCATTTTTTCTAAGGTGCCAAATGGATTGTCGTGACTTTTTTGCTTTTTGTATCTAAAGAAGTTGAAATTATAACTAATACGTTTTACACTTGCATTTAAAGTAAACTATTATGGTAGCGATAATAAGTCTTGATGCACTGTAAATAAAAAAGAACCACAAAAACAAAACATTCGTAAATAAAGTAAAAGGTTTGTGGTAGCACCGTGCAAGGAGGTCTATTTTGTGAGTATACGTGGGTCTGAAAAGAACCGGAGGGTATTCAACATTTTCAACAAAATCAAAATGTTATTGACAACAACTGAGGAGTTCTGTGATGGTACATCCACTTTGCCATCACAATTCAACTTTTGCCTTAAAAATTACACTCTTTTCCCAAACAGTTTTGCACAGACGTACATATATGTGACCCACCATTCCAGAACAAGGCTGAGGTAGGTAACTTCATAACTCTAAAATAGTGGAACTTCCACTGTTCAGATTTTCATGGGAGTTTTACAGCTATCACTACCCGTAAGAAGCTTACTGCAGACAGAATGTCGATTCAACATGGATCACTTTAAAGTGTAAAACAAGCGGAAGGAGAGGAATTGTCCAACATCACAAATACCGACTTCAGCCTGGTTTGGGGATGGGGGGTCACATAATATGATTGAAATAGTCTAACATCTTCCAGATTTGAAGAGGGGTAGCTGATCATTGTTTTTTGGTTTTTGGGAGGGTAGCATTGTTGCATAATATAGCATTTCGTAGTGCCACTTACCATCTCAAGCATTCCTTCCAGACATCTCCACCTACTGCATCCATGATCACATTGGCTCCTTTTCCCTGTGTCAGTTCCTTAGTCTTCTCTCGCAGATTCTCCTGTTTGTAGTCGATAGTAGCAAAGGCACCCTTGTCGCTTACCAGCTTGCATTTCTCTGGGCCTCCTGCAGCACCAATGACCTGTATGGATTACAAAGTAGTTCAAAAATGAGCACGCAACTTGACTGGAAATGAAGAAAGATCAGATCCTGATTAAGAGAGTGACAATTCCTTCCTCTGTTTCATCTCGTTCCCAGCTGTAACCCAGAGAGGATGGTGCTCACGCATTGATCCAAACGATCGAAAGTCAGACATGAATGTGACTGTAAATCTGGCTTCAATTTTCATGGTTGTGCTAAGCTCAGACCTATGCTTAAAATCATTCTCTATAAATACACTCCATCACAGAAATACTGTGATTATTAAGAACCATGGATCGATGGATGGATCGGTGGCATACCACATGTTCAGTCCCGGAGGAGTAGAATGGAATGTTTTCTGTCTGTCAAATGTTTCTCCCACAAAAGAATCCTCATAACTACCCTTCAATAGAAGGCAGAAGTACCACTACCATTTCCAAAATGACGGGCACTTTCCGAATTCCTTAAAACCAAAACCAAAACTAAGCACCTGGCCACAGGTCTCCAGAGGTCCACCCTGCCCCTCGCCTAGATATGCCATTGGCATGCATATGCGCAAGTCTGAATATCTCATACATATGTAAGGCTTGCCAATCTGTGAAACAGGCTCCCCCTTGGCACATCATTTCGTAATACAGTTAGTCGAAATTCCTGGCCTATTCTAAAGGGCAGTAGAGCCCAGTGTTATGGCACTGCTATTAAAGTAGAAACATATCTCAGAAAATTTTTGCGCCAAATAAAAATAAGTGAGGAACTAGTCTCAACAATATACTTTGCATGGCACTTTGGTCATTTTTGCTGAGCAAATATTTTCTCTGCTTTATGAACATGGCTCAAGCTGGTCATAAAATGATAGCCAGCTATCATGAGACTCCTCTATAAAAACAATCTGCTCACAGATTGCTAGCCAGAAATCTGACTGTTTTGATGTGGATCTGTGTCGCACTGAGTAGAAGTTTTTAAACACCGACCTTAGCACCAAGGACCTTGGAGGCTAACTCCACTGATGCCAAACCAACTCCCCCAGCAGCCGCTGTCACTAGGACTGTCTCACTGTGAAGAGATAACACACTCCATATCAGGATCAGATTATGACCAAGCTAGATGGTTGGGCTCTATCTCACAGCTGGAAAATGGCCAAAGAGTTTTCTTAAAATGTACATGTAAATGTAGCTATGAACAATAGCCACAGCAATCATTGATGAAACAGGTCATCTGAAAGCCACATTAAATTGTTCACTGCAGCTCAATGATAATGAAAATGAAAAAAAAAGTCAGTAGAAGAAAAACAAACATACATGACGGAAAGGTGGCATATGACCTTACTGGACCTCATGCATGCAAGATACTGGTATCATAAAAGAAGGGGTATTTGACAGGGCCTGGGAGAGAGAATCCAACAGAATTGATGAAAGAGCGGATTTATAAATCACTATTGAATTCTTGATTCTTCAATATGAAGATATGTTCTTTTGATACATGATGATGAAGTAAAACATGAATTATACAAAGCAATTTGCTTCTACCAATTTGTTAACTGGTGAAGGGCTTTTGGAGAGGTTTGGCTTACAATACTGGCAATCTAAGTAAACTGCAGCATAAACTCCATGATGAAACAGCAAGTGGTTATGTGTAGTATACTCATCAGAGCTTCGGCCATGTGTAATTAAACCAGCTGCGGCTGAGAATTGCGCAAGTACCTATGGAAGCCACAAACTTGTGGCTTCATGCATCTGGTATGGAAGTATGGTTATCTCCAGCCACAGTGAAGTAACTATGACACTTTTAATGATAAACTCATCATCACAAGTGGGCACTGATTCACAAGCACGAACGGTACAGATTGAGGGAGAAATTAGCTTTTGACGGAATGAGTACAAGCATGCAATAACTGCATTTGACAGGGAAACGTGTGAGTAAGAGGTACGACTGAAGTGACACTCACGTGTTCATCAGATGCCCTTTTATTTTTAGAACTGAAGACGTGGTTACATGTAAAATGCCAATCTATCACAGTGACTCACCCTGGCTGTGTGTTAGCCCTACGGGTTAATCCCATCCAAGCTGTGCCGTACGACACAGGTAAAGAAGCTGCCTCCTCATAGCCCATGGAGTCAGGAATTTGAAACAGCTCCTAGAAGACAATGATGCCATATACATGTTCATGTAAATAGTATGGACTCGCAATGCTCTCGTACCAACTGAAGCCACAGACGGCCATCTTATCATGCTGAATACATTGTAAATACCGGTATTGTTGCCACAATTTGTATTTGGCACTTTCAAATGGCTGCTGGTGGCCCCAATAGAGGGATTTCACATTAGCACCATCTGCGCATATTCGCATCGAAACTGAGGCCCTCTGTGTTGAACTTCGTCGCGGGCGCCCGCGCCTGTGGGGTCCATACAGTACATGGAGTATCCGGTTCGTAATGTGGTGCCACTTCAGTTTAAACCACGCCCACTGCACATGGCGATACACGACCATCGCAAGTACATGTACGTTAGTTCGCGGTAAAGTGCCGTTATTTTTTCTTTTGATTTTACGTGTCGAGTTATCCTGAAAGATTCTTCCACAAAAATTTGCAGCTTGAAAAGTCTAAATTTAACATACCTTTATGTATTTTGTGTCTTAAGAATTGAAGCTGACACACAGCCTCTTTTTCAAACGCGGAAGTTCGCAGACCTGGCACCAGTACTGAACTACTGAGTCAGAAGATGCACCCATAAATAGCTGAGGAGGCTCCACTCTACTTTGCACAACACTGGGAACAGGTGCAACAACGTTGCTGTGCTTTGGAGTGACACTTTAAGCTATCACTTGATGGATTTCAGGGAAAAGATGCCCTCACCCATGATCTGACCATAATTCTCATATTCACCACCCGAGGGGCACTTCATGAATCAGGCGTACATTTCCTTGTATCAGTTCATTACATGGCATGATAAAGTAAAGAAACAAACCCTCCACAATCCGAATAGTTGGAGCAACTTGGAATGTCCTTAATTTTTTTTCTGACTGAGCAGAATGTGAATGCTATTTTCACAAAGAAAAGAAAACTTTAGATGAATGAATCAAGCGAAATGACAGAGTTACAGCAACCAAATGCTACTTGAAAGATTTCCCACTTTCACTAGTTATGATCATCCATATGGAAATGCACCATACGTACAACTGTATACTTATTATTTAACATTTTTGTATTTGACAAACCAGGGGCCAATTTCATAGAGCTGCTTAAGCCCAAAATTTGCTTAAGGGCCAGAAAACCTTACTTGATAATGAGCAAAAACTCCATTATTTTGGGACTGTATTTAGCTGTTTTTTGGTTAGCATGATAATCAGATAGAGTTTGAACTGGTAACCTTTGTTAATTAAGCAAAGTTTTTTCCCAATTAAGCAAATATTGTGCTTAATTGGCCCTAGAAACACCCCCATTCAGTATTGCAAAAGGAAAAAACTGTATTATCAACTATAACTGAAAAAAACCCAGGATATCTCGATACCAAGAATGAAGGAAATAAAACAGACCATTAATGAAGTTTGAAGGAAATGGGACATACAGTAGTTCTGGATTTCATATAAATAGGGAACTAAAAAAAGAGACAAACATCATAACTCACATTTTCATAAGCCACACATTCTTCAGAAAAGCCAGCTCCCACGGCTAAAAGACCAATCACACGATCTCCCTGACAAAACAAATCAACACAAAGACAATAGTTGGCTTCGGCAGGGAACCATATTTTCTCAAAATAGATACCAATATTTCATTTCTTAGCTGTGTTGATGCAATAGGTTCACTGTAATCCGAAAACAATGAATTTCATTTAAGAAGGAATAATTGAAAATTCTAGGATACATAAATGAAATCTCACCTTTTTGAAAGAACTCACACCTTCTCCTATGTCTAACACCTCTCCAGCAACTTCATTACCTGAATGAATAAAACATACAACGATCCAAATTACGGTTTATTTAGACAAGCAGAAATCTGGTTTTGGCTTTCACAACCAAGCATGTACAGCAAAAGTGTATACCATGTATTTCAATGTTTTTACTGGCCAATCAAAGGCTGTTATATCAAATGCTCACTCATTGGTCAGCAAGCAGTGATGTCATGCATACGTAATCATTAAATCTGAATATGAATCACAGATGCTTGCCGAGTAAGATTGCTGGAACAGGAAACAGTTTGCAGGGTTCAAAATTCTCCTGAAACATTTGTGGTTCAGATCATGTACAAGCAGCTAGTACATTCTGTGAATTGTTTATTTAATGAATACATCAAAAAAAAGTAGGACAAGTACATGTACATGTACGTACTAGTTCTTTCTTTTAGCTTTGTGTTTTTCAGACATCATGGGGAATATGACAGAAATCTGCCTGTTATATCCTTTGAACATATGAAGTAATGACTGGACAAAACTTACCAGGTCTGAAGATGATACTCTGTATGAATGGTACTGACCTGGGGTAAATGGTAGAGGTGGCTTGACCTGGTACTGACCGGCCACTGTCAGAATGTCCGCAAAATTGACCCCACAGGTATGAATGGCCACGCGCACCTTGGAGAAATTTTTATTTAATTTCAGATCTTAATAACAAGTACACTAATCAGGAACCATTTCAGACTCAACCATTTTCACAATATTGAATGCCAATCAAACCTCACATTACAGTACATCCCTGTTCAAGATCCTAGTGATGATGCGTTTTCTCTACACACTGATGATGATTCCCATATTCTTGACTTTCTTTGAAGATGAGACATCATTACACCTGGCGGGCTTTAAACAATAGGCTCACCTGCCCATCTGACAGGCTGTCTGGGCTTGGTACTTGGCTGATGGTTAGGGGTTTTCCCAACTCATTGCACACTGCAGCTCTGTGAGTGTGTCGGACACTAGCAACACTGTGAGGACCGATGGCACTGCTTGTAAGCAGAGGAGCTTTACAACTTGTAAGATTGCCTCTGGAGAAAAAGAACCCAAATTCATATATGTGTGAAAAGAAGTCTCATGTCCAGCACTATGTGTGTATGTTAGACTGCAGACCTCACCCCATGAGGACAGGCATGACCCTTCATGAGGACGGGCAAGGCCCTGCTTCTGAGGACCTTGAAAGGGCACACAATACATGTACTGCATGGACGGCTGTTTTGATCTCAGAGGGCACACAATACATGTACTGGACAGCTGTTTCGATCTCAGAGGGCACACAATACATGTACTGCAAGGACAGCTGTTTAGATCTCAGAGGGCACACAATACATGTACTGCA